TGCACTAGGAGTGCTGGGTGTGCTCCAGGGGTCCTCGTGATGCAAGTGTTGGCTACTTTAGAGAGAAGCCAAAAAGAGGCAACAAATAAAACAATTGAAGGACACAGTGTCATAGGAATAAAACATTTTAGCAAATACTGGAGGCTTTAAAGCATTGCCCTCTGAATAGCAGCATTCCCTGTTTGCACATTTAAATCTTTAGTTCCCTTTATACTGCAGGTCACTCTTCTTGGCTCCCAATTATGCTGGTGTACCTGTCTCTCCTTCCCCCACCTCTGGGGTAGTACCTTGATTGTCTGCCTCTCCCTTTCGGAGGGGAACAGCCTCTCTGTTAATTCTTGTGACTTGGCCACACTCCCACCTCCTGACCCACTCCCTCAGCTCCCATTCAATATGGCCGCCGCGCCAACCGGCGCTGAACCCAAATATACATGTTGTACTCTTTAGAACGTGGAAACTGGGAGTTGACTCCTTGTATGAAAAAAAGGAACATTATCAGATAGAAACAACTGGATGAATTATTACAGCATCTGGACATCCATGAAGCCACCTCGCTAAATAGTAACTTCCCGACCTGCTCTATCTTGGGATCCTTCTTTGTGCTCTCCTGCCACTGGTTCAAAGCTTAGGCCTTGTGTAGACTAGGATTTAAAGTCATGCTGTTCAATTGAGTTATCTAACTTGATCTAATTGATACCTTCTTAAAACCAAGACAAAGCAATTGTACCTGAACAACTGCTAAGAAAGGTGTGTTTTTACAGCAATCCAACTAACGCTAGTTAGCTGCAGGAAAGGCAATAAGCTACACTGGCCTAAGCACATTGATACTGATATAACGTTTCTACATTAGAGATTCCACCAGAATAACTATACCAGTAACAAATCACACTTCTAACCAATATAGTTATACTGGTATGTGAACGGGAGCCTATTCTAGAGAAGCCCTTAGACAAGGTTTCAGCCACAGGCACCAACCGTGTGGGTGCTCCAGGGATGGGGCTGGAGCACCCACAGAAAAGAAATGGAGGGTGCTGAGCATACACCAGCAGCCCCCCTCACATCATAGACTCATAGACTCATAGACTTTAAGGTCAGAAGGGACCATTATGATCATCTAGTCTGACCTCCCGCATGATGCAGGCCACAAAAGCTGACCCACCCACTCCTGGAATAATTCTCTCCCTTGACTCAGCTGTTGAAGTCCCCAAATCATGATTTAAAGACTTCAAGTCGCAGAGAATCCTCCAGCAAGCGACCCCTGCCCCATGCTGCGGAGGAAGGCGAAAAATCTCCAGGGCCTCTGCCAATCTACCCTGGAGGAAAATTCCTTCCCAACCCCAAATATGGTGATCAGCTGAATCCCGAGCATGTGGGCAAGATTCTCCAGCCAGACCCTCCTGAAAAAGTTCTCTGGAGTAACTTTTAATATCCCATCATTGACCATTGTTACTAATTACCAGCGATGGCCCGTTATTGACCTATTGACTAAAATCACGTTATCCCATCAAACCATCCCCTCCATAAACTTATCAAGCTTAATCTTAAAGCCAGAGAGGTCTTTCGCCCCCACTGTTTCCCTTGGAAGGCTGTTCCAGAACTTTCACCCCTCTGATGGTTAGAAACCTTCATCTAATTTCAAGCCTAAACTTCCCGACGGCCAGTTTATAACCATTTGTTCTCATGTCCACATTAGTACTGAGCTGAAATAATTCCTCTCCCTCTCTAGTATTTATCCCTCTGATATATTTAAAGAGAGCAATCATATCCCCCCTCAGCCTTCTTTTGGTTAAGGTAAATAAACCGAGATCCTTGAGTCTCCTTTCATACGACAGATTTTCCATTCCTCGGATCATCCTAGTGGCCCTTCTCTGTACCCGTTCCAGTTTGAATTCATCCTTTTTAAACATGGGAGACCAGAACTGCACACAGTACTCCAAATGAGGTCTCACCAGTGCCTTGTGTAACAGAACCAGCACCTCCTTATCCTTACTAGAAATACCTCGCCTAATGCATCCCAAGACCGCATTAGCTTTTTTCACGGCCACGTCACATTGCCGACTCATAGTCATCCTGCGATCAACCAGGACTCCGAGGTCCTTCTCCTCTTCCATTACTTCCAACCGATGTGTCCCCAGCTTATAACGAAAATTCTTGCTAGTCATCCCTAAATGCATAACCTTGCACTTCTCACTATTAAATTTCATCCTATTACTATTACTCCCCTTCCCCCCAGCGCCTCCCGCCCGCCACGATCAGCTGTTCCACAGCATGCAGGAGGTGCTGAGGGGGAAGACTGAGGGTGGGGTGTGCTCGGGGGGAGCGGGAAGAATACAGCCGGAAGAGGCAGGGCGGGGATGGGGCCTTGGGGGAAGGGGTGGAGTGGAGGCAGGGCCTGGGGCAGAGCCAGGGGGGAGCACCCCGCAGCACATTAGAAAGTCGACGTCTACGGTTTCAGCTCCTAACAGAATTCTCTTCTCTAGACTAAACATGCTCAGTTCATACAAACTTTCCTCATTGGTCAGATTTTCTCAACCTCTTATTTTAGTGGTTCTCCTCTGGACTCTCCAATTTGTCCACATCTTTCTTAAAGTGCAGCACCCAGAACTAAACCCATTATTGCAGCTACGGCCTCACCAGTGCCGAGTAGAGCACAAATATTACTCCCTGTGTCTTACATACAACTCTCCTGTTAACACAACCACAGCATGACAATTGCCTTTTTCACAACAGCGCTACACTGTTGTCTCATATTCAGTTTGTGGGCCACTATAACCCTCGGGTCCTTTTCTGCCAAAGCAGTTATTCCCCATTTTGGATTTGTGCATGATTCTTCCCTCATATATGTAGTTCTGTGAACTTGTCTTTAGTGAATTCTCCAATTTGTCAAGATCATTGTGAATTCATAATTCATTAGACTCTATGCTGATGCTTTTTTGATTTGCTAGGCACTAGTTTCTCAGGTATCAAAATTCTGTTGCTGACCCAATCAGAGGAGAAGGAGAGAATGCCTGCACGGGAACATGAACCATTCTGCTGGGACAGACGGACTTCTGCCAATTTCCAATGGAAAAAAAAATCAAAGAAAAGGTTAAGGCGGGCAATGAACAATGTGCATTGTACAACGGCCAGGTGTACATTGCTGTGATCAAGCCGTTGGCTCAGAACAACATTAAAAGCTGTTAAAGAGTGAATACCACACACAGTCAGGAATGGGTCAGGTCATACATTAATCAACTGGGGAGGTCACTGGGGCGTCTTGTTTGAATAACTGCTCACTGGTGTGGATAATGGGTGCACAGACTAGCTCTTAGTACTGCCCTAGGGCAGTGCTCCAGCCATACTCTGGCTTCGATGAAACTTAAAGGACTTCAGTCTCTTGTACGCTGTGATGCACTGACCTTAATCATGGCTTTGGGGCAAGAATAAATCCTACATTCAATAACTAAAGCAATAATGTCGCACAGCCCCCCCAATGCCTTTTCCCATGCACACCCTCTATGCACAGTACAGCCACCCTGGGCTTGTATAACGGAACCAGCACCTCCTTATCCCTACTAGAAATACCATCCCCTCCATAAAGTATTCAGATACTTTCCATACTTCAGTCCCTCTTCAAGACCCACTTCTGCCACCCTGCCTACACCGAAACAAATTGACCTGTATATAATTTCCTAGTGTGGTTCCGTTCCCTCTGTCTATATTGTGAGTCTCTTGGAACTGGGCCTGGGATTCTTGCATGTTTGGGAGGTACCTAGCACGGTGTGAGCCCCGACGTAAATAAAGAATCACGGTCGTTAGAATTCTAGCCCTTTTAGGATTCGCACAGCAATTGCAAACATTAGCTAACTCCGCGTGGTTTCTTTTCATTTGCATTCTGGTTTTCAGGCCGTTCGAGTGCACTTGGGTCACTTTTTCAACATTTGCTCCATGATAGTGCAGGCTAGAAACTCATTTTTTCCCCCTTGAAATGAAAACTGGGATTCTCACCTAATCAGATTTCTCCCAGAACTGGGGCTTTAAAAATACCCCCAATTTTTCCAGACTCACAATAAAATCGTGCCAGCTAGCAACAGTGTAAATCCATAACAATGCCTTCTACCTAGGTGGTGCTATTCTGGATTTAAAGTGATGTACGTGAGGGCAAAGTCTGGACCTATAACTTTCCTAGATTTAGGTGATTTTCCAAAGCTCGCTCGGTTTTGCTGATGGGAACAAGCATTGCCCCGGCCAGGAATGACCATGCTGTAGTTAGCGTCTTATTTCATAGTTTTGTATGGTTTCCTGCTTCTAAAAGCACTGGTTAATTTATATTATCATCATCTCTAATAAGAAGTGGATTTTTGATGTACACCTGAAACAACCAGCTCTAGCGAGTCCCGTTTCCTGTTGGACAGGCGGACGGGCTAACATTTCTTGACACTGTAGATCACACAGAGAGTAGAAGCAGCTCGGAGTGGCTTGAAAGGCTATAGGATTTTTTCTGCAATTGCACTGAATTACACCCTTCCTGCCGGTTGGCTAGCACAATTAGCCCCAGATATAAGGGATTTACAATGAGTGGGATTCAGCAGCTTTTGGCCACCAGTGAGTCAGAGTACAACCGCTGGGACACGTGTTAGAATAGTGCGCTGTGCAGTTTGGGCCTGTAGGTGATACTGCCCTGCATCAGCCCAGGCCAAGGGGCAAACAGTGTGCTGTATGTAGGATTAATCTTCCCCTCAAGTTCTTGGGAGAGACCCAGACCACAATCTCGTGAAATTCAGAACTTGACTCAAGTAATAACTGTACGGGGCTTTGAATGAAACACAGCGGCTCTGTCCTGTCCCTCCTTGTCACACGCTATTAGAATGAGTGTGCATAGGTAAGAATGAAGGAAACGCTCCACTTTTCGCCACACAGGCCTGCTCATACGTGTACACACACACACATAAACACACACACACACGTGCAGAGGGTCACAACCACACACAAAACTAAGACTGATCTCCTTACCAAAAATGGACGATTTAACAACACCTCTTTATTAAAGGAGGGTGAGAGGGACAAATATTTCTTTCCGTGGGTCGAGGGTTTCCCTCCAGGATTTCAGCAGATTGGACAGTCTCTATTTTTTGCAGCACCGCGTTATGAAGTTGGGGCAGGCTCCACGTAGGTATTCATCTGAGAGACATATCTCTAAAGCCTCCACGCAGTAACCTCCTATGGAAGCACAGGGAGGCATTTGGATCCTTTGACCATACCCTGCACAAAGGAAAGAAGTTATTTGTCATCAGAAGAGGAGTGGGCAAAGTTTTCAAACTGGAGTGTCTAAAGTTAGGGACCTAAATCCACATTGAGAGACTTCAAGAAAAGGGGCCTGATTTTCAGAAGCACTGGGGACCCATTGACTTCCATGGGAGTTTATCATGCTCCGCACTTCCAAATGACTTACATGTGGGTGTAGGGAGTCACTCCTAGGCTCATGGAAGTCCATGGCAATCCCATTGACTTGAATGGAGAAGTATCAGGATAGGTGCCTAATTTAAGTCGAACACAGGGCTGCCAATTTAGTCCCTTGCATCTGAAGAAGTGAGGTTCTTACCCACGAAAGCTTATGCTCCCAATACTTCTGTTAGTCTTCAAGGTGCCACAGGACCCTCTGTTGCTTTTTACAGATTCAGACTAACATGGCTACCACTCTGATAATTTAGTCCCTGTAAGTTCTCAGCCCTGCAGAAAATGCACTTAGGTGCCTCTGACCTGGAAGAGGCAGACAATTACACTTGCATGTTCTTTGCAACAGAGGAAAATGCTTAAGGTCATAAATGTTGTGACCCGAAGAAGAGCTGTGTGTAGCTCAGAAGTTTGTCTCTTCCACCAACAGAAGATGGTCCAGTAAAAGATATTGCCTTACCCGCCTCGCCTCTCTAAAGTCATAAAAGAAAGCTATTGCAGAACCAGCAGAGACCCTCAAAACTATGGATCATCTAAGTGATATTCCTGGACGGGGAGCTAGGGTTCCGACTGCACACCCAGTCTTAGACAAATTAGTGTCTTTGCTTGGCTAAAGAAACACAACTTGGTCTGCATGAACTTCTTCCCCGTGTAAAACAAACCAAATGGTGGAGGGATGCAGCTGAGTCTGAGACAGTTGAGAAATGGCGGAGGGGGGGGGACGGGACTTCTGTCTTAGTTTGATCATAAAGTCTTCGAGGTCGGGATTGTCTACTACCCTGTGCTTGTACGGTGCCTTAACATAATGAATCCCTGTTCTTGGCTGGTCCTTAGGAACTACTGTACTGAGCACAATAATAATAACAACAACAAGAATACATTAAAATATATTTTGTTTTAGCATTTCGCGAAGTTTAAAAGGTCCCCAGACAAGTATCACAGCTGCATGTCGCTAAAAAAAGAACAATGTAAAGGCCGAATACAACCTCGTGCTTTCAATCTCCTCTCACAACCAGAGTGGGCCTTATTCTCATTTATACCACGGCCCCTTTAGCCCACTCTGGTAAAGGGCCTCAGCGCCAATGAGAACCTGCCCCACTGTAGTTAAAATAAATACATGGGGACAGATTCTCCATTGCCCAGAGACTTGTATATTTATTTACATTGGAACAAAGTTGGTGCGTGTAGGTACCGCTCTGATGTACCGGTGTTAACACCCATTTTGCACTGGTCTATGAAACCTCCACATGGGCTTTACCAACTCCTGGAGCTCTTGGATGAGCCTCTGGGGGCCCTACCAGAAGGACTACAACTAGGTGGCTACCACAGGCCTCTGATCTCATTCCCAGCAGGCTTGGAATCAGAGGCGGGCACTGAAGAAACAAGGAATCCCACTGAAGCAAAGCAGGCAGGTTTCTGCACAGGGTGATGTGGACGAGCAGTCCATTGGGTCAATGACAAGCCAGGGCTGCATGGCCTCTAGCAAGATAGCTGGGGAAGGGGCAGCCTGACTTTACAGAAACAGAGTTAAAGTTCGGAAGCTGGGCGAGAGACCGAGTAGCTCAGGAAATCCCTGCTAACTTGCCCCTTCTCCGAAAGGGAGTTTGCACTGCTCTAAGAGTCTGGATGCATTGGTCAGGCAGCTCCAGCACTGCAAGGAGCAGCATCTGCAGAGAGAGATCCAACCTGCACTGGCTACTGAGAGCCAGCCCAGGCAGATTGCAAACCAGGGAACCAGCGAGCTCGGTTGGAGTCAGAAGGCGACTCTTCCGCCTTTAGGAGTGAAGAAAAACCAAGGTGACTTTTGTCATGCCACAGCACTGCAACGCTCCATACCAAGGCATGCACCCTTGGCCTACAGTCCACCTTGAGAGAGTGCCAGGGTGGGGAGGGAGGAATTTGTGAGTCCTAGGAGGTGGAAAATTGGCTTATCTATCAATGTTTATTATGTACTAATTACTCTTAATCCTTTCCTTCCCCAGACCCTATTTTCCTGTTGTGAGTAGAGTCCTTGCTGTGTTATACTGTTATTACTGGTGGCTCGTTCCTTTGCTGGTGTTTGTTTTATTTACTTTATTGCCCACTGTGCACTGGGCTTTACACTCCTCTGCTTGTAGCATTGTCACTGATTTCTCAAGGGACAGCCCCTCTGCGTATCTGGTCCAGTGAGAAGTCACTTGAGTGGAGGAGCCAGGCACCAAGAAAAGGAACCCAGGATCCAACCCACAAGAGGAGAGCGCAGAAGCTGCTCCAAATATTGGTGACTGCAAGCACCTGGGAGAGGTTTAAGCGACAGCCCCGGGGAAAGGGCTACAGATAAGTGACTGCACACAGTGCAGGGCAATGGAGAATCTATCCCACCCTAGCTGGGTAATTATAGCCATCCTAATAACAATTGCTCCTGCTGATGATAAAGGGAGGTGTGTCCTAGTGCTCAAAGTACAGAGCTAGGAGCCCACAACTCCTGCATTCTACTCCGGAATCTGCCACTGATTCACTGTGTGGCTTTGGGTGAGTTATTTAGGGCCTGACAAGCCTTTAGGCACTGAGCAAGGTGAAACATGTAGCCCTGCCACCCCAGAGACAGGCGAGGGGAGGGATCATAGTGCTGGGAGTCCCAGGGCAAGATTTTCGAGGCTGACTAGTGATTTTGGGCTTCTACCTTGAGACGACCGGAAGGGGCCTGGGTTTCATAGGGTGGGCGCTTGGCATGTTCTGAAAATCACATCCCTGTAAGGTGTTTAAGGTTGGAGATACCCAGAACCACTCGTCCCTTTGAAAATACTGGCGATGACGCCCTTCCCGTTGTCCCCTTGCCCCAGGGAGATATTTGTCTGAGCCATTCCCTTGCTGGGCAAGTGGCAGCTCTCTCACTGCTGCGGATTCACCAACCTCTCTTCAAACACAGCTCATGCTGAGAAGATGCTCTTTCCATAGGATACAGCAATGGGGTGGATTGCTCTTTAAATGATGGAGGTGCTGGTCACTGTTCTGAAGTTCAGATTGAGTTGAGTTTTGGACGTTAGCAGGATTTTGACCTCTTTGTTATGAAGGAAAAATACAGCATGTCCTGCCCGAAATGACAGCACCGGCTATCTAACTAAAGAATGAATGCAATCTGTTAAAGATACTGTCCACAGGGCTGGAGAGGCAGGATTCCAACGGACATAAGTAAAAGAAGGATGCTTTGAGTTCTATGCCCTTTTCACATTCTCAAAGCACCTTGTAGACTGTAATTGGCCAGCCTTCACAAAACTCTCGTGAGCCAAGTGCATAAGTGCTGTTGCTTCCCTTTTACAGGAGGGGAAAGTGTAACCCGAAGGAGAGGGAGTGCTTCAAAACAGGACCCTAAATCCATAGTTAGGCACCTAGGTAAGTGGCACAGTTTGCAGATGTGTCTCCAGATGAAATTCAGGCCATGGATTATGATGCCAAAATGTGGATTTAGGGGACAGATTTTAGGCCTTCAAGTTTGAAGTGTTACCTACTTGCCTGATGTCACAGAGTGAGTCAATGTCAGAGCCAGGAGTTCCCGCCTGTCAGGTCTATTCTCAAATCACATGCACCCTCCACCTCTCAGACACACAGCTGTCCCTTCTATCATCCCCACCTCCCCCGGAGCACCAGTGGAAGAGTTGTCATCAGAACGCATTAGAACTGCGTCGCTTCACAGGTTTCTCTCTCACCTGGAGCAGGCTGGAAGAGTAGGGGAACCACAGCAATGAGCAGGTACAGGCTCTTCATGGCTGAGGGTCAGCTGGGATCTCGGCGTCACTGCAGAGAAGAGGCACCAAGGCAGAGTGAGACAGCGGTTCTGTGCCAGATGAATCCCAGTATTTATAGGGCTCTGGGGTCTGTGAAAGGCTGAAGTGCAGGATTCTTGCTTTGATGTGCCTGATGCAACCTGTAACCAGAAATTCCAGTAACTATCTCAAGCTATCACCTAACCGGCCTGGTCAGCAAGATATCACACCTGAGTGTACAGAGGTAATAATTCCTCTCTACCCTGTCACCATGGCTGCACTAGGAGAGCTTTAAAGGTTCTCTTTAAAGTCAGAATCTAGCCCTTTGTTATTTTGACTCACCTTTCTGTGTCCTAGGGCCAGATTGTACCTCTAGGTAGAGCCCTCAGCAAGGGCTGGTATTTGAATGGCTGTTTGCAGCATGTTTACAACCTCAGGGTGCACAGAGACAAAACCGACGTCATTTTGAACCGTTCTGGGATCAGCGGTTTCTATCACAGGTCAGTACATACTTTGCTGACAGAGTGTGCAATGCCAAGATAGTTAGAAATCAGGCCCTGTATGAAACACCCCTCCTCTCCCCAAAGCCCAGGCTCACAGAGTGTTGGAAACAAGTCTCCATGGAGAAGAATAAAACAGCCACCTCCACCTCACACACTTGCCCTGCCTCCACACTCACTACACTCTAGACACACGGCTACGTACATAGACACAAAGGCAGCCGCACATGCACACACAAAAAAGGAAGTTGCATGCCCTTGCTGAGTAGCTGTGATTTAAGAGCTTGTTGTTATTAAAAACAAGGGAACAAATCTCTGTTTGGGTGCTCTCAGGTCACCCTTCTGGATTTCTGCAGCCCAGCTGCTTCTCTACCACCATCACGAATTCCATCACAGGTCACCCCCAGGGGCAGTTATCTCTTCCTTATCCCTCGTCAGGATCCTTCTCCGACTTTGTTAATAGATTGAGCTCTTTGAGTCTATCACTATAATGCAGGTTTTCTAATCTTCTAACCATTCTCATGACTCTTCTCTGAATGCTCTCCCATTTATCAACAGCCTTCTTGAAGTGTGGGTACCAGAACTGGACACAGTATTCCAGCAGTGGTCACAACAGTGCCAAATATAGAGATAAACTGGCCTCTCTACTCCTGCTCAAGATTCCCCTGTGTATGCATACCAGGATTGTATTAGCCCTTTTGGCCACAGCATCACACTGGGAGTTCATGTTAGCTGATTCTACACTCTTCCACCCACCAAGTCATTTTTAGAATTGCTGCTTCCCATCCTGCAAGTATGGCTACATTCTTAGTTCCTAGACGTATACATTTACATTTAGCTGTATTAAAACACATATTTTTTGCTTGTGCCAAGCATACCAAGCAATCCAAATCGCTCTGTATCCATGCCCCATCCTCTTCATGATTTGCCACTCTCCCAATTTTTGCGTCATTTGAAATTTTTATCAGTGATGATTTGATGTTTTTTTCCAAGTCACTGACAAAAATGTTAAATAACATAGGGACAGGGACCAAATGGTGTGGAATCCCGCTAGAAATACATTTGCTCAGTGATGATTCCTGTTTGCAATTACATTTTGAGATGTTTCAGTTAGTCAGTTTTTAATCCATTTAATATATGCCATGTCAATTGTATATCGTTCTAGTTTTTTAATTAATGTGTTGTGTAGTACCAAGTCAAATCTCTTACAGAAGTCTAAGTGGATTACGTCAACACTATTACCTTTATGAACCAAATACTGGCACAACATCAGCTTTCTTCCAGTCTTCTGGAACTTCCCCAGTGTTCCAAGACTTATTGAACAACAACAGTAATTATTCAGAGAGCTTCTCAAAGTGTTCTTTTAAAACACTTACATGCAAGTTATTTGGATCTGCTGATTGAAAAATGTCTAAGTTTAGTAGCTACTATTTAAAATCTTGCTGAGATATTAGAGGAATGAAAGGAGTGTTGTGATATGATATGATTACATCCTCTGTTTTTATTCCAAATACAGAACAGAAATGTTTATTGAACAGTTGATAAATCTACCATTTCCATTTACTAATGTACCAGTGCCATTGTCAGGATTCTTTTTGTTCCTACTATACTTTAAAAACTTCTTATTATCCTTAACTCTGCTGGCCACAGATTTCTCACTGTGTCCCTTTGCTTCCTTTATCAATTTTCTACAATTGCTAGCTGCTGATTTATGTTCATTGACTACTGAAATAGTCGCGGATTCACACCGGGCTGTGTCATGGGGTAATTATTAGCATAGTTTGTTTTGAAAATGCCAAATGTTCAGCACTACAAAGCAACCCTATTGTTCCTGATGTAAGCATTGTGGCCCAAAGCCCTAGAGAATAGGGAGCTCATTATTGATTCTAAATTTACATAGGTAAACATACAGTAGAACCCTGTTTATCCAAACCTCCATTTATCTGGCTCTCTGTATTAACTGAACCACCAGCTGCCCAGGGCTGACAGCGGCCCAGGCAGCTAGTGGTTTGGTTAATATGGAGAGCTGGATAATGGAAGCATGGATAAACAGGATTCTACTGTACTTTGTAGCTAGGGAAACTAAAGTTCAGCATTTCATTTTAATTGTGGAAAACCACAGATTTGTATGGTTTTTTGATTGGAGAATTTTGTTCTTTTTATCACGGAAAACTAGGATCTCTGGTGATCAGTTCTTGGCTCTACAGTATTTAACATTGTTATCGGTAAACTGGAAGAAAACAAAAAATCATCACTGATAAAGTTTGAAAATGACACAAAATCTGGGGGAGTGGGAACTAACGAAGAGAACAGATTGCTGATACAGAGTGATCTGGATTGGTTGGTAAGCTGGGTGCAAACAAACGATCTGTGTTTTAATATGGCCAAATGTAAATGTGCACATTTAGGAACAAAGAACCTGCACCCTACTTACAGGATTGGGGACTCTATCCTGGGAAGCAGTGACTCTGAAAAAGACCGAGGCAGGCCTGGTTCCAGGTTTTCTGCCACCCCAAGCGGCGGGGGAAAAAAAAGCCAATCGGCGGCACTTCGGCGGCAGCTCAATCGCACCGCTCCATTCTTCGGCGGCAGTTTGGCGGCGGGTCCTTCACTCCCTCTTCCTCTTTGGCGGCACTTCGGCGGCAGCTCAAAAAAGAAAAGAGGGACTGAGGGACCCCCCACCGAAGACCCGGACGTGCTGCCCCTTTGTTTTGGCCGCCCCAAGCACCTGCTTCCTTCGCTGGTGCCTGGATCCGGCCCTGGACTGAGGGGTCATGGTGGATAAACAGCGGAACACTTTGGATCTAGACCACAGGCTCCCGATCTTGTTGGAAGCTGAGGAGACGGTTGACTATTGACTCTGTCTGGGACTAGAATTGCTACTGAATGGGATGACCTGTGTTTGCTGAGGAGATTCTGAGGCGTTTAGAGGGGAACTCTGGGGCTGCCGCTCTCTTATGGCTCTGAGGCATCCAGATGTCACACATGCAGATTTGATGCCATGTTGCAGAGACTGAAAAGCCATCTCTGCGAAACGATCATAGAATCATAGAATATCAGGGTTGGAAGAGACCTCAGGCCCTGCTCAAAGCAGGACCAACCCCAACTAAATCATCAAAGGGGAGCACCTGTGTGTGTGTGTGTACTTGTGTCTGTGTGCACACACTAAGGTATCTCTTTTACTGAGCTTGTGCAACAGCAACAAGGTGGGGAAATCTGTGTGGGAAACAGCAATAGTTTCTGCATAATCATTGCTTAAAAAGAGTTTTCATGATTATTCCCTATGCAGGTTGCAACGTTCATTGCTACAAGCATGTGGGTTACCTGTGTAAATTGCCAATTAGCATATTCAAATGACCCCTTTTGCTATTGACATGAGGACGGTAAGGACGGAGTCACACGGGGCTGTGCTATGGGTAATTGTTAGCTTAGATTGAACTGAAAACGCCAAATGAGCACCGCAAACAAACCCCGTTGCCTCTTAGGTGCCCAGCCCTGAGCTGTCAAAGCGGTACTCTGGCAGCATTGTGGGAGATGCCAACTACAGTCCAGCAGTGTTGGGCAGAGCCTGGGCAGCAGGCTGGGCCAGGAATAAACTGTGTGTGACAGAGCTCATGGCATCTCCAGCCTGGCTTTGCTGCTACGGAGCCAGTCCATTGCAGCCCGGCACCCCTTATTGACTATGTTGCTGCTGATAAGGGTGGCAGAGGGAGAGGTGTGCACCTTATTTCTCGCAGGGGTGGCTATTCCTTGAGTTCCTCGTAAAATCATGCTCCTGGGAGTACTCACTCCACATGTTCATTAGTACCCTGGCGTGCTTCTCAGCTAGCAGAACTCTCGGTGTAGAGCCTAGAACTGCACTGCATTCTCCAGAGCTTGGAGGAGTCCAAGCAAGGGTACATGGGCCTGCAGGTAGGTTCCCATGCGTTGGGGTGAGTGGGAAGCGAGTTGGCAGAAGGGCCCGGAGATACAGGTACAGGAACTTGTGGGAATAGCAATGGAGAACTAGCTAGGCTCAAACCCAGGTACCTGCACCTTTGCTACCACTACACTGCACAGTGGGTGGGGTGGTGGGGGGTCGCAGCCCAACCCGCACACCTTCCCACACCCTCCAGACAAGCATGACGGCTCAGGATCTACTTGCTTGAAGGGTGCGTTTAAGAGCTTTGAGTGTGGAGAATAGGTGGGTGGGCCACCTCTATGCACCTCAGCACCTGAAGAGCCTGCAATATGGACAAAGCCTGTGTGTATGGATGGCAGGTGAGTTAGAGGGATCACTGGAATTATAACTACAGACAAGCCATTAGGCTTTGTCTTCACTCCCCGGAGAGGTATGTTTTTACCACAGAACAGCTCAACGGTGTTAGCTCTTCCACTGAAATAGCATAGTGGAGACAAGGCACTTCACATTTTTTGCAAGGTAAAATAGGCAAGGTCAGCCCTGGCAGGGGGTAGAGCGCTGATCTGACCTAGCAAGCCCAATCTTTTATCTTCCTCATACTAATGAGATGGGTCTTGTTCTGAACCACACCTCCCTTGTTCTGAACGTCCACGCTCACCTTAGAAATGGATCTGGACAAAGAAGAATGAAGAGAGCTGTTAGGGTTTCCTCCCCACTCTGAACTCTAGGGTACAGACATGGGGACCCACATGAAAGACCCCTTAAGCTTATTTCTACCAGTTTAGGTTAAAAACTCCCCAAGGCACAAATTCTCCCTTGTACCTTGGATTAGGTAAACGCTGCCACCACAAAGTGATTAGACA